CCGGGTGCGGTGCTGCTGTATTCTTGACGGAGGACGAAGGGACGACCTGGTATTGTTGTGGCGGCATCATCAGGTCTGAAGTTGACAAGGCCACGACGGACAAGGGTAAGGTCGACGACCGAGATTTGAGGAAATTCTTCCTCACTTCGGTGTACGATGAGCAGGGTACGAACTGGGTCAAGACTGACCACAAGGTCAGCCTTGACATTGCTCTGTTCAAGGGGTATGGTCAGAAGGCATTCGGTATGAAAGCCTTCAGCAGCAAGCGGGACGGGAATGCTTCGAGGATTCTCTTACCCATTGAATTCCTCACCAAGACCAATGGGTATAGGAGAAGTGGTCAATACCCGACGGTCTTCGCTGGTTACCAGCTCTCGTTGCCTCTTGTGCCGTTCGACGCTCCAGGAGAAAGTCTCGCAGGCTTGTCAGCGTGCTCTAGCGATCGGCAGCGAGATGTCTCGACTCCGCAACCATCGGTGTCCGCGAAGGAGAAACTCGTTACTTACCAGAGGCGTCCGAGCGGTGGGTCATCGGGAAACGTCCCGAAGAAGAAGGTGCTCGACAAACCACCTTCCAGTCTTCCGGGGAGCTCGCGTGCCGGTAGAAGCTCGCGCTCGCAGGACACCTCCCAACGTCGAATGGACGAGGAGTCAAGCGAGAAGACGGAGGACGATGAACGGATTCGCCGATTGCAATCCCAGTCACTAGCCACGCGAAGGTTCACCCAGGGCGAAGGCTCTTGCGATGTGAATGCAGAGTGGGAGGATAGTAGAGGCGACGAAGCCTGGGCGAGGGGCGATGGAGAAGACGATGAGAATGAAGGAGAATGTGGTGGTGGGCAGGACCACATGGATTGCGAAAAGGCAGCGGCAAGCGGCGGGGTGCTCGGTGGTAATGTGGGTGGTTCAGAGATGGAAGACCAGGATATGGAAGATGAGGAAATGGAAGACGAGGAAATGAAAGACGAAGGACAGGATGTCGATGTTTCCGCGGAGCTTACTTCGAAGGGGAGGGGAAAACGCACAGCGGAATCGTAGCCGAAGCGAGCCGCGCCTAAGAAGCAGGCTCGAAGAAAAGTTGTGCAGGACGCTCGGCTCGCCTTGGATGCAGCTGCTGGTACGCCTGGTGAAGCCGGTGTGGAATCGAAATCCAAAGCTCGGGTTCGCAAAACGTGCAACCCAGGAAGCCTGTGCGGTCGTCGAGGCACCCGAAATCAGATGACTCGAGCGACGATGCTGAAAGGGTGGCCCCTCGTTTGCTCTCCATCCCTGACGACGACGAACCGGAGACGAAGAAACCCAAAGTGGTGAACATGACGCAGTGCTTCTTTCTCGAGTACGACGAGGACGGTAAAAAGAGAAAGGACCCGCCTAGGGTGGTCATTGACGTCATTCAGATTCTTCCGATTCCGGTGGGAGAGATCACCTTCAACCAGCGAGCGCTGAACCCCGCCATCGTCGCAGGCATCGAAGCGGCAATTGAAGTATCAGCTCGCCCACAGTCCGTGGATGATCCGGCTCCGTGGGATCCACCGGAGTTGGTGCTGGCTCCGATTAATCCATCAAAGGACGCGGACGAACAAGGAACCCGCGTC